TACTAAAATGAAGAAGTCAGCCTGTAAACATCGTATATAGTTTTGATTGCTTCGTTTGTTTTATTTGAAGACTGAACTAAAGTTAATTATGTATTAGTAGGATTTTGTTTGTACAAACGCAATACCAACCTATCAGTAGAAATCTCAATAGAACATTCCGAACATCTCAATAGAACATTTTACAGTATAATAACTATTTGAGAATACGAAGAAATGACCAAAGAACTGTTCGTATGTCTGTGAAATCTTTATGCTTTAATGACCAATGAATTAAAAATTTAAACTTGGAACTCAAATAAATAAATGAACTAAACCATGTAACGTTATAAGGCATTTCGGTATTGTTACTAGGACGTTTATATTAAACGAAGGCTTAAAACTACTTACCATTATGTATTTATTGGTTTTAACTCGTGTTTATTTTCAGTGACCCTATAATTTTCAGAATATCCATGTTGTTTGATTTATGTTCAAATGGGAATTAAATGGTTAATATTTTTCGAAGTTTAAGTGATTCCAACTAAATCCATTTATAAAAGCAATAATAATAACCATTTTATTCAATATTATGTGTTATTACAGTATGAAGCTCTCAGGTATTTATCATGAACCAGTTTACATAAGAGAAAGCACGATTCTCAAAATACAAAAACTTTACATTTTAAATCCATATTGATGATTAATATCCATTGGATTTTATAACAAAATATACTAGAGTCAATTCACTTTTTTGTACAACAATTCATAGTCTAAAAATTTCTTAATAAGATACATATGTTAATTCATTTTATGTCCGGCTTGAAAAACAGAGCTGAACGGTTTCACTTTAAGACCATAAAAATAGTTAAATTAGTACTGTATGATTAACGTTTCCATTAACTTTTCAAACGACACTCATGGATTTACGGATTCAATGGAAAATTATTAACTCAAGGTGAATGTAATAAATAATAACACTATAATTAGATTTTAACTGGTAAACAAATTTTTGATAAATGTTATGGAGGAACGTTTTTTCGCTCATTTTCAATAAGGAAACATAAATCATAACTGAAACACTTTTCATTGTATTGTTCTCCATGTTCTAACTTCTAACGAGTCTATACGTATACTATTTATCAATTTTGGCTCAAAATTATTAATCTCGATAACTCAGTCGCTAACATTCAGAAGTATTTAATTAAAATTCTGTTATAACAGTAACTATTGTTCTGCATTTAAGCTTGTTAGATGACACTCGAGTAGCATAACAGTTGAAGTAAACAAATCAGTGAACTATGTTTAAAACGACTCTGCCTATGACTGAAGATTAAAGTTATAGACTTTGACGAAATCAAATGAGCTGAGAATAAGTGATAGTATGATGACCTATATGGGACACGTTGATAGGCTTAACATGTGGATCAACATACATAAGCCGCTCACTAGTGAATAATCAATTATGTATATATACTCACCGTTATCATGAAAAATATCATTTATTAAGAACCATCTGTGTATATCAATCACGGAATAGTTACCTTTCGTGGAAACGATATCTATAGACAGCATTAAGAAAGGAGAGATAGATTCGAACCTTTTGATTCTCCAGTTGATAAAATCTTGAATAATCAAATTAACGAAACCTTATGCAAAAAAATTCATAAAACTCCTGAACTTCAACTGCGATATTTAACGTTTTTTTACATTAAACAGAGTGAATTATGGTAGGCTGAAAGTTAGGGATAAAATTTATCGTATGATTGGCTTGATCATTGTAGGCAGTTCAGAATTATGAAGGGGAAAAAGAGTTTTGAAATAAAGATTCAGATCACGACGTGCATTACCTTAACATTATACAAATACTTCAATTCATTTTTAATTCGTAGATTTAAAACATAAACTTTAACTTCGGAACATGTTCTTAAGGTCCATAAAAGCAGAAACAATTCTATTGATCAAGGATGCAGCTATTCACGCTGACCTAAATCTTCACGTCAAAGAACATATAAAAAAATCACTTTTAAACGCGATATTCGATGCATGTTTGTGAAACCTACAATTAGACTTAAAATTACGTATACCGTTCTTTAGAATTTCGACATTTTGAATATGCAAAATACATAGAGTCGAAAAGCGCTTTGCGCAATATACCTTATCATATGTGGTAGAAGTTTAAAATTATTGAGGCCAATGAAAATTGGGACATACACTACTGCATGATATCTTAACGATCCAAATCCTCAAACTTTAATCTCGAGATGTTCTATTTATGTCTTAACGCCAACGGTGAGTGGTAACAGGTAGAACGATATTTTTCGCTACATGTCTTACCATTTTACATACAGTTACCTATTGTTTAAGTAAACTTGAAGGCTTTATGTTTATAAACTGTAACTCCAAGAAAATAATTCTTCTTTAAATTACTACGTGTAGATCACTTTAATAAATGCTAAAGCACATATCTAAATAACATCGTTTTCTATATGGGATCTATCTTGAAACTCATACATTCACATGTAATGGGTTAAGCACTAATATTAGAAAGGTTTATCACTGAAGTTTACTAGATAACTGAGAAGCTAACTGATTCATTCAAGTACTAAACCCTCAAATGCATAAACTAAATCACTTCAACGAGTTCAATGTAATGGAACAATCTTTTATAAAAGTTTAACTTTAAAAACAAGCTGGATTACTGAGCAATAAAATCAGCTGAAAATCTGCAGCACTCTGAATAAACAACAGGAATCACTGTTCACCATATATTTTTCTTGTTTTAGTGTTTTCTAGTAAAATTTAGTGACATTTAATATTTCCCACAACTTTGATAACAACACGAAAATGTTGTAAGATGAATATAAGCATCTGGAAAAATTCACATATGTTAAATTATTTGATAAACAAAGCCTATATATGGTGAATACTTATTGATGGATTTCTTAAAACCCATGTATCCATGTTCTCGTTAGTTTCTATAAAATTCCCAAACGATCAGTAATCAGATGACTGAATATATTACCCTTAAATTTTTAACTGAAAATATTTACCAACAAAAATTTACCCGTGACTTTTGGAAACATGAGTGAATAATAGTAATAAACTCAACATATTTCATCATAAATTGAAATACTACACGTTCCACTTCATTCGTTATCACAACTGAGTTTTGAAAAATATTATTGATTTATCCCCTTTACACTTTTGTGGCTCAAGATCTGACTCCAATTCGATCGTTTCTGATTGTTATTTGAAATATGCATGTCGTTAATCCTCGTATATTATTATCGACTTAACTCGCTTAGGTGAATAACGGAATTAAATAAATCAAATACGAGAGTGAATTTCGTATACGTATATTTCACACAACCATTTATTCAGACAGACAATCAGAGAAACGAAGCGAAGCTAAATAATGCGCAGTGGAGAAGATATGTGAGCCAACTCAAACTAATCAAGCGTTAATCAGTGTTTATAGTTGGATGGAAATAAGTTACAGACATTTGATCAATAGGATAAGAAATACACATATATGCTTACAAAAAACAGTCAAGATTGGTAAGCGAATAATTGACAAGGTCAAAGAATGACTTAAGAAGAATGAATAAATTGGCCTGTCCGGAAGCTAGAATAAGCTATGTGAGCTTAGCATAGCAACCGACGCTACAACACATTGGCATATCCATTTAAACTGTACAGCCATAACGGAAATTATTCTTACAATAAATGATACCAGCTTAAACGTTTATAAGCAGAGATGGGTGATGTTTAGAAGTGGGATCCAGTACACACTTTTCATCCTATTCGGGGCTCGTCAGCTGGATGTACCTGCATCCCAGAGTTGATGTACACTCCTGAACTCGAACCCAGTACCGTTTACTTCAAATGCCATCACGTTATTCCCTTAGCTACTGAGTCCGGATAGAAACCAGCTTGTGCAATGTGGTGAAGTTTATGTCATTTTTGTATTGGTTGATTGAATCTTCCCACTGATGTTTTGGACTGCAATTGACTGATCTCTTATCGGCATATGTACATCCTATGTGGATTACTTCGATATAACCTTAAGTCACTCAAGGCACAAGTTTATATTTATTGTTACTTTATTGTTACTTAATCGTATTAATCACACATAGGTCTAACTTCCTACATACAATGAACTTATAGATAATTTTCCAATAGTGATTTAAGTAACTCGATAATTATATACCTTTCCTAAGTAGCAAACTGTATTTCGGACAAATACTTATTACTACATTGTATTAGTGAAATTTCCACTTACAGAAAATCATCAGGGTGACTATTCAAAGTACGACTGCTAACTTTTATGAAATACTTCAAATAAATTATCACTTTTCCGTTATGACCATCCCGTACACAGTATAGAAAGAATTCCAAATTCAACTCGCTACATCTAGCAGTTAATCAATATAAAGTATTCATGATTTGAATGCTATCATACTCAATTACTACGATGTTATTAAGTTTGAATGAAACTTTAAATGATTTATATCATATTATTCCCTATTATTCTTATTTTGGGTAGATTTCTTGTTTCGATTAAAGAGTTTTGTTGATTTGTTTCTCCAGTTCCTGGATAGGATTTGTTTTTGTTGACTGGTAAACAATCCATTCTAAGTTATTTCTCAGCCATCCTATTGTAGTTTTGAAAAGTATTCAATAAGTTAATCTTGTTCACTAAGCGGCCTCACCTAAAATCCCGTACTGTAATTACATAACGAAGATTGAATCAGACATCCTGATTTACACTATAAGCGTCAGGCTAATCTTTAATAAGTAATATGTGTGGATGGAAAACAACAATAACAGATGTATCAACATGTGTACGAAAATTTTCTTACATATTGCTTATAGTGGTTTCGTTTCCCCTGTTTTTAAAAAATGTAACTTTCTTGTATCTAGCAAAATGGTAAGTTGTGACGCAAGCCCTTCAATACAATTTTTGATGCTTACACAAAGATAAACAATTGTTCGAATATATATTTCTTAATTTTTTTCAGACCTGAATATTACTTTTTCTCAAAAAATCATCTCTTCTTTGTAATAATCAACTTGGGAGTTATACAAATTGCTTATTCACAAAAAGACTTGGAAATTTTCCGCTTTCAAATTGCTCAGTGTTCAACAATGACAACATCACTAGGTGCAAACCTAAGCTACTGTTTATTTTGCGTTCAAAATTATAAAGAAGAATGTAATAATTTATGCGCCTCCCAAGAAAAGGATCAAGAAATCTGTAGTCGAATATGTTGGCGCTTTGCTAAGTACGGAACGTTTTCATGTAAAAACAATGTTGGCTAGCATTTAGTCAAGTTTATAATCTCCAAGAAGTGAAATATATAATTATTCAGAGATATATGACTGATTTAAACAAATAAAAATTTTAAAAAATTTAAAATTGCTGTAAAGTGATCACTCAGTTGTTCAATAAGATAATTTTCTTGGCACGTCAGTGTTTATTCACTGAACTTAGAAGGTTTTCAAAAAATAATTCAGTTAGTTTGTGGACATTTCATTACTACCACTTAATTTTGCTTGACAATTCTAGGAAGTCTGTGATTACAAAAAAGAGATTGGACCTTCTTTTCTCTAGATCATCTATTTTAATTGTAGTTAATGGAGCACTGATTTTGATAGGCAAATATCTATAGTTTGAACTATAAAAGTATTTTATCAGTTATATCCAAGAATACGTAACGATGGTATAAGATATGTTATTTACTTGAAAGCACAATTGCTTATTCATGACTTTATATCCTAAGTGCAAGTATGCAGTAGTACTTAATAATGCACACAAACTGATCACTGTTTCGTTTAGATTTTCCACAGAAATACAAGTTAAACTGGTTACTTAACAATAATTACCCCAGAGTTGGGAAGACTGCAAGCTATAAAATCATTTAGAATTGTACGTGAAACAGGCTAGAAGAAAGATAAGATGAAAAAATTCCTAGAAACCTTTGGTACCGTACATTGAAACCACAGAAACCATCTTGAGAAATATGTTGTGTGGTGATTTGATTTTATTCTAACTGACTGTACAGATAGGTTCAGTATTACTGCTTTATTATAAAGTGGAAATTCCAAAGTGATAAAGGGAAGGTTTTTTATCATTGAGGATTGGATAAGTGAACGTCAAACTTTTAGAACAATAGTCCATATCAGTATCTTAATTAAAACCACTTTGGTATTTTGTATATCCTCTCCATCTGACATCCTATTCTTGTTCATGTACCGCTTTGATAGAAAAAAAAACAGTAGACACCTTTGTATCAAGCTATTTTTATCCAATGTTTATGAAAAAGTAATGTAATAAGACTAGATTTGAATTAGTTCCGGTTTTTACTTCGTACAATATTTTATTAGTAATCATTAACTGAAGTAAATAGACTGATTTCATAAACTGAATTATAGGCGAATAATACATTCAATTATGTAATCTTGTTATAATTCAAAGGGCCGCCGATTGGAGGGCAGTGACTTATCGATCGGATCAAGGGATTCAGAATCTCGATAGACTATTCTGGTCCGTTGTCTCCGACTCAGCTAACGCGATCAAGAAGTCTTGGTAAGGAGTAGAAAGTGTATTCCACAGGCAACCAGCAGATACCAGGTTAGGTCAATCAGGCACACAAGTCAAGCGTATTTATACAAATATTTATAATTGATATTGTCATGGTAAATTTTTTTAAATATTACTCAATAAGTTCATCAATCGACAGCCATTCAAATATTTAATCGATATGTTCATCAATTGACAGCCATTCAAATATTTAATCGATAAGTTCATCAATCGACAGCCATTCAAATATTTATAAGTTCATCAATCGACAGCCATTCAAATATTTAATCGATATGTTCATCAATTGACAGCCATTCAAATATTTAATCGATAAGTTCATCAATCGACAGCCATTCAAATATTTAAACATTTAATTTATAAGTTAATCGACAAGATGAAATTACAAAATCTGAGTTTTGGGGATCTATCGTCCCTAACAAATCTGTTAATGAGGAAATCATGACTTCCGTTGAATATCAATAGCTGAAACTATATAATATATATTATATATATATATATATATATATATATATATATATATATATATATATATATATATAAACTCTTCATCTGCATAACCGTAAACATTTGACACATATGATAAGCTGGTAATTGGCAAATCTCTTATGACATTCGCTTTTTCTGTCCATTAATTAGTATAAACTAAAAAAGAAAGTTGATATAAACGCTAGAAAAGATTGACAATAACTAAGTATACTTTTTCTCTTGAACACTCGATATCATTTGGTGGGGAAATAAAAATAATAAATAGAAATCAAAAATAAGTATCTTATATTTACAAAGAATTACTTTACCGAAATAAGATACTGCAGGACCCAGTAACCTACACTGATAGAAAATATAAATATAAAGCAAATATCGTTAAAGCGAATATGGCGGAATAGTGTGTTTAGACAAAGGGACCGAATTATATTTTGATTTTCTGAAACAGACATTTTGAGATTTTTTGGAACTTCAATACACTAGATGGAACAAACATGACCACATAAATGAATTCCTTCAAATCTGCCTGTTAGTTTATCACCAGCCATTCACTTATAAGGTTTCAGTATTTTGGACCATCACGTTCGGTATTCATGATACATAATGAAGTTTCGACCTAAGTGTTGTAATTCTTATCTTTCACCGAGGGAACTTTCGGGAAATGATGAAAAAAGATATAGGCAAGAACAGCTTATAGTCCCAGAGGTATTCTTTTTTTAAAAATTGGCTATTATGCTGGATCGAAATCCCGATCCAATCATGAATGTACATTCGCTTAAATATTATGTAAAGAAAGACAGTTTGGTTATTGTATGATGAATAGTACTCTTGTTTACACTAATTCGCATCTTACTTGTTATGTAACTGTGATTCACTTTACTGCTAAGTTCACTAAACTTCATATCCGAAAGTCTTTGGTCCGATAAATTAATCAGAATAAAACTTAACTACTGTTCAGTGTTCTCTAATGTTAATTGAGTGAAATGTTCAAAACACAAAATATGCTTAATTTCCCAATCTCTTATTAAGCTATTTGTTTCTTCTGCTTATTTACTAACAAAAGTTGCAAAACGTGGTTTTTGTTAGTTTTTTATTAGATTAGTTGTGCTATTTTCCACTAATCGAATTCATACTCGATTAAATTCAAAACATGATATGTTAGTCACAGTAAATCCTAATACATTATATAACGTATTTCTGAAAATAATTTCAGAATACAATAGCTTCTTACTGACATACCGTGTCTAGGCTTATTAATGGTTGGTAAGGAGAGATATGTTTTGGGCTATTTACGTGATTATTTTTTTTATTTTGACTTATTCTGTACTTCAGATGTTTTTCTTTGGCAGCAATAGTTAAGATCCAATAACTCCATGCTAAGAATTCAAAGTAATGAAAGTCATTTAAATATTTTCATATTTGTTTGTAAGAAATTCGTTTATCAAGTTAAAGTCAGACAAGATTACTAAGAAAACACTGAAAAGAACGTTTAATGAACTTAACAGTAGAGTGACGTGGTATTAATAGAGACTCATTTGTGTAGTAATTATTAACTAGAAAGCAGTAATTTTTCAAACTGTATAAATTAGTTCCAGTCAGCAATAAAAAGTGAAATCTTACGAAATCAGATAATCGCATGCTACAAAACACTTTCAGTATTCTGATGAACACACTTAACTAGAAAAAAAGACATCCATATTGTTAAAACAACTTAACCATGATAAAATATATACTAAGAGAATATAGAGCTAGAAAAGTTTTTCCAGGTCATCAGCTTTCTAAGTATTTATCCATTTACATTTCCATAGATTATTTGAGTGGACACAGATAAGTGTAGTACTTAGTTATTAGTAGACACTTTTAGGTGTGAAATGTTCTACCTAAAAAGAATAAATAAATCCAAGTACTCAACTGCTCATTATTTATCATATTCAACTTTAACTGGTGGGTAGTTTTATTCACTAATATTTTAAAGAAACTGTTATCTACTAGAACTCAATACAGAAACTCTCTTCTTGGCTTAGATAAAACGGTTGAATGACTAATATATTTTACATCGGGAACTTTAATTTCAAATTCATTCTTTACTTTACAAACCATAAGTCACATATCCGGTGATTGTAACCAATAACTTGTGTGTCAACAAATACATAATTCAGAAAGTAGTTCTTAGGTCTTATGTCATCGATGAATAACTTGGAATTCCCATATGTAATTCCAAGCATTATATAGCTACAAATTATATTTATGAAGCATACTAGACTTTTATTCGTGATAGTGTAACTCACCTGTAGGTTTTTTAGCCAAAAGCTTAAGTAAATATTTAATACTTGGGTTAAATAATGTATACAACCGTCTTTAGTTTTCTGAAATACCTGATTTTATTCTTTGGAGGTAGAAAAACAGGCATAAAAAGATTTTTTTCGTCAAGTACACATCACCTGCGAAACCTAAAGATCTTCTTTTACACATTAACTTACCGAACTTTTCTTAAATTTATTCTTGGATGAAACTACTAGAGTTGTGTTATTGCTCAAACTGACAGCCGATTATATGACAGTGACTTATCGATCGGATCAAGGATTCAGAATCTCGATAGCCTATTCTGGTCCGTTGTCCCCAACTCTGCTAACTCGATCAAGAAGTCTGGGTAAGGTGTAGAAAATGTATTCTACAGACAAACAGCAGATAACAAGTCAGGCAGGCAGATCCGATCAAGCATACAAGTCAAGCGTATTTATACAATTATTTACAATCGATAGAAAATTTTTAAACATTAATCAATGAGTTCATTAATTGACCTATTTGCGCATTTAATCGATAGTTCATCAATTGATTCCAATAAAAATATCTAACATTTGATCGATAAGATAAAATTTAAAATATGAGTTTGGGGATCTATCGTCCCCAACACTCCTCCCCTTTTTAGAAGATCCGGAGTTGATATCCGGATTTTAAGTTTTCCAGGTCCATCCTCCCCCACGAAACAGTGTTGGATCCTCATATGCCCACGTTATAATTAACTTGAATTTGTTTAAGACATATTTATCGCACTGAACAGAGAATTGACTGAAAGTGACTAAGTCTTGAGGCTGAACGACACTTGATATGAGGTGTTCGAAGTTTAATTCTTCTGAAATGTTGTGACCAAATTTATTTGGAATCTTATTTGTAGATAATGGATCATCAAGGTAATTAGCATCTATCAAAATTGCATTAAGTTTTTGATCATCAT